GCTGTAATTTGTAAATACTGGACTTTGCATGCAGGTTGGGGGGAAAGCCAGTGCTATTCCAAGACAGGGGCTTCATCTGAGGTGCTGCTCCTCATGTCACCTAGTTGCCTCTTTTAAAAGACAACGGGTTGTTTCGTAGGATCTGAATTCTGACGCGATATATTTCAACTCACTGATGGTTGGTTGCTGTCCTGCTTAAGGTGGGTCAGCGGGCTCTGCACTGCTGCTTGTGCACAGGTGCTCGTGTTTCTGTAACTCCTGGGGAAAAAAAAACCTTCATCTGCTGACAGTTTCTGCCAACAGTAAATGAGTCTAAATAACCTTTTACCTGTGAAGGTCTGTGGCACGTAGGAACAGGGAATGTAGGTGATCACTACATGTGTTCTGTAGCGATGATGGAGAGGAGGGGACAAAGTGAAAAACACGAGGAGGTGGGAAATAAAATAAGGCTTCCAACATTTCAGTTAAATAATTTTTTTTTAATCCTTGTTTTTTTAAGGTTTTGTCTTCAGTCTTTTAACAATCACTGAATTTGTAGGTTTCCACATATTTCACAACCTTAATTTTTATTTTATTTTAACTTTTTTTCTTTTCATACTAAAGCATTTTGCTGTGAAAGCTGTCACGGGTTATTATCCTGCCATGCTAATACACAGCAGCAAGCTTGGCTTCCAAGTGTGTACATGTATGTCTGTGGGAAATGTGGGAAAACAGTGAGAAGGGAGCACACAGTACTGCTTGTCTAATGATGTCAGTCCAGATCTTCAGGACCTACAACTGAATACTAGTGTGTTCAAATTAAAACCCTAGGATTTATTTTACTTGCCTTTTTGGGGTTTGGTGGTGGGAGGTGTGTGTCTGCTTGGTGATTTTGTGTGGTGTCTTTTTTTTTTTTTTAATAATAGGTTTTATATCCTGAAGGTTTTCTTTGAAGCCACTACAGAGAGTTGGAGTTATTGTTTTCAGTGTGAAACCTGAGATTTTAATAGATTTGCTTGATGGTAGGAACTGGAATTTTTAAGTAAATGTCAAATAACAGGAAGTTTATGTTTTAAGCCACAGGAGTTTGGCAACATTGAGGGCTGTGTGTGCTGATAATATTAAAGATAATCCCGTAGTCTATTTCCAATGATTTCCAGGAATCTGATGAGTGAGTTACCAGTGAGTCAAAGCTATATTTGTACGTATGGATGAGGTATATATTGCAGAGTGGAAATCATGACTGACATCTTTGCTGCCAGCTCACGGGCTCGTAGCCATTCATGCGAGAGGAGGAATCACTGTGGCATGAGAAAGATCCTGACATGTAGGTACTGCCAACATCAGCCGGTTGTCAGTTACAGGAGCTATTCAGGCTCAAATGACTTGACTTTAATACTTAGCGGCTTTATTTGGAGAAAAATTTTGGTTTCACTCTGGCAGGGTTCAATCCTGCCTGCTGCTGGCTGCTCTTGGTATAAGTATGCTCTTCGGCCTTAAAGCTTGCTCATCTTTTGTTCTGAGAGGACATAGTGGTACTTACTGGGAGCATAAGGATCTCAAAACTTCTGCCTCAGTATGTGATACCTTTGAGACCATCAGAACATTTCCTGATAGATGATACAGAGAGGGCTTGCTCTTCTGTGGTGGGCTCTTTGTCAGATGTGTCTCTGTTTAATTTCAGTTGATGATCAGCTATCGGGTGCCCACTGAAGAGAGCTTTCTAAATTCTTTGCTCATTTTTCTGTTCCGTGCTTTTTTGGTAGCTCTTCTTCCGGGTATAGTTTTTGAACTCTCGCGTTCCTTCCCACAGACTTCTGGAATCTGCTTGGTATGTGTTCTGTGAATGCATGTGACCGTACGCACCTTCTTTCATTCCTTTCTCTCCGAGCTCTGGCAGTAGCTGCTTAAGCTCGGTAGCTTCTACAGTGAAAAACCTGTTAATAAAAAGCTTTTTAAGAGAAAACCAGCATTTACATCCCAGAGTGTATGCTGATCAGTGGGTGCTTTTAAATTCTGTACAAACAGATTATACTTCCATTAAAATAGTTCTGCAAATGGTTTGGTGGGCACCTGTACTTTCTGTTGTGTTGTGGTGTGTGATATTCAAGTTGCTTTAAGGAATTGGAGGCTGAAATTTTGCCGCTAGCTGCTATAGACTGCTTTTAAGACCCCAACACCCCTATGAAATTTTGTTCGTTTCCAAATAAAGAAGGTGGGTTTTGCCTAGCAACAAGCTTTGCGGTTTCTACCTGAGGATCAAAACCACAAGTGATTTTGTTCAGCCTTTTGCGTCACTTCGGTACTGACGGTTTTGACAGTCAAATCATCGCTGACATTTCTGTTGATGTGCAAGAAAGAGAATAATCCAGTATGTTTTTCCATAGCAGTGCTGTCAGTGCAGGACTGACAATAGTAAAAAGCGCATTCATCACTGAATAACCAGATATCCTGGAAACGCAAGAGAAATGGAGACATATTTTCAATCAAAATGTTTCACTCTTAATGGCTATTTTCTGACTGTTTCTTTATTGCTATTTATACTCTCCCTGAAGTATTTTATAGAAACCTGAGTCCCTTTGAAAATCCACCCAAACAACCAGAAGTGTATTTTACGTATTGTAGTATGTAAATGATTAGTCATCGCTTGCAAATTGTCTAATAGAGGAGGAGGAAGTTATATTGAGGGAAGGTGAAGAGCTCGATTGTGACTGCTATATGTCTCAGTTCTTCCTGCCCCTTTTTTTCCTCAGAAGATAATTAGGAAGAATTTTTTTTAAAATCATCCTAAGAAACATTGTCATTGCAGGTTTAAAAAATGGTAGCTGCACACTGTAAGCTTATTTTCCACTTGCTTATGCTTTTTTGGGGAAATTTATGGTTGTGTTTTTGTTGTTTTAATTTAAGATTCTATGGTCATCTTGTACATTGCCTAAGAAAAATGATGTTGTCATCAGACATCTTAAGTGTAACAATATGGGGAACTTGGTTTAGGAAGTAATATGTCTTTGGTAAAGCATAATAATCTTATGTTGAGCGTCTGTGGCAGAAGACCAGAAATGCTGTTTATTGGAGTCTTGGCAGATCTCTTCACTTGCTGGATAGGATAACCTTTGGTTGGTTGTTTTTGTTTTGCTCTGTTTATTTTATGAGTAGTTTATTCACAAGACACGGTAACATTGAAAAATCCTGAAATAATTTTTTTGTGTCCTGATTTTGGTACAGTTACTCTCAGTTTTGTTGCTGGCAGTTTATCTGGTGAAGCTGTAATGCACCACATTTCCTTGGAATTTCTAATTTGTGGTTGGTTTTGCTTGATAATCCCCTCTCCCGCTCCCCCTCCCCTTTTTGGAAATGTGAGGGAAATGGTTAATGGAAGATGTTTACAAGAAAAGGTTTTTCAGTTGTGGTTCATTCACTATTTTCCCTCTGAATATTATCTCCATGATATACATTTGCATGTGCTTGAGTGCTTAGGCATAATTTTCCATGTTGTTTCTCCATTCCCATTGCAATCCTGTAAGGATGTTTGTCAGTGAGATAACGTTTCTGAAAATGTCCTGCAAGAAGTACCAGAAAAGCAAGTGTGAAGACGTACTTTTGAATTAACTCTGTACAAGTTAAGTGGTTCGAAAAAAAGAAATATTTTTAGACATATAAATTTGCAGGCTGGCAGGGGTAGTTTATAGCACTGCCTGCTGGTCTCCTCTGTACCCCTCAGCTGCCAGAGAGGGCAGGACTTGATTTTTGTGGGAGGCTAAATTCCATTTCTGATCCACGAAGTTCAGCTTTTTAATGTGGGGAGCTCCAGTGCGCTGCCATATCACTGTACAGCAATTGCAGCCACACACAGTTTAAAATGTGCCTCAGAAACAATGAGTCTAATGCTACAGTGAGATGATTTTCCTTTTTGTGCGTTCCCTCCCCCAAGCAGAATGATATGTTTCCTCCTATTTGCTTTTTTTCATGTGTTTGCGCTAATTGCTTCAACCGTGATTCATGTGCGAGCCTTGAGAAGAGGGTGCCTGTTGTATGAAGACAGTTCGGCACACGGCCATGGCTTGCAATTCAGTCTGACTCCTCCCAAAATGCTCCTTTTCTGTTAGATCAGCTCTTCAGCTGGCCCGCACAATCCTGATGAGGATTGCGTTGCTGAGGTGACTCTTCCTCCAGGCTTATTTTCCTAACCGTAACCTGGAAATAGCTTTTTTCCCCCTCAGACAGTGCCTCAAATGGAAGTTTTTCTGGTGGCTGTTGGTCAGGGATTTCTTCTTTCTCCTCCTCCCGTTCTTGATCATTTCAACTTTTACTCACCTTTATTAAATCAACGTCTTGGTTCACTACCCTGGCAAAGCAGGTCACTTTCTAAAAGCACCCACCTAGCTTCTTTTTCAGTAGTGTTTGACTGTGGAAATTTCAACTGGAGCAGACTCTGTAGTTACAAAGCAAGCAAGTCTTTTTTCCTCATTGATTTCTGTTGAAGCAAACAGATGATCTTATATATAAATATGTATATATGCTTTTTTTAATGAAAAGTGCTGGAATTCACTAAAAAAGGTTAAAATTGAAGTGAGTAATCTTCAGTGCATAATGCAATTGTTAATTTTAGCTCCTTGCGTAGGAGCTGTTATGACTTGAACAGCCGGCTCTAGCCTTCATTAGAGAAGAAGCAGGCAGTTTTGAGACAGGTGGAGCTGGATCAAGCTGTGAAAGTGATTTGCTTGAAGCTGGTCATTAGTGTTAGAATTTGGTCCTATCTATTGCATCCTTCCCTTCTACCATGGTCATTACTGTTATTGTTTACTTGTCATCTCTTTCCAGGTTGACTATGATCTGTCAAACTCTCTGAAGGACCGGCATGGAGATTGGTGCTCTGAACTGTTAATGGGGACATGGGACTCACGTTGCCATTGATCATTTGTGTGGACTTAACCAGCGAAGAGCAACAGAAGACGCTAGAAAGACAGTGGGAATTATAGCAGTTTTTCAGGTAAACGGCTTCTTTGGTGGAACTGGTAAACTATGAGTGTGACTGGTTTTGTGAACGTTGTGTAAGCATGTGGATGAGTCGCGGAGTAATATGCCTATGAGGAACTTGTACGTGCATGTGCTTTTCTTGGTAGAAACCCTTAACAAATTAAGGATTGTTTAACAGACCAGACCAGTTCCAGGTCTTGCCATTCTTCAGGTTTTGAATTTTTAGCAAAGCAATTCAAGTTTCAGTTGTAACTGCAGAATAGCCAATACCACGGGATTTCCTGGGGAGGGTGGTGGGAGGAATAAGAACAACCCAAAACTTGAATTGGCTTACGGTGAGCTTCATATTCCAGTTGGTTTGTTTATTTATGAACCGTGTAGCTTCATTTCTTGTGAAATTCACAATCCTTCTGAAACAGGAAGATTACGTAGGAAAATTTGTATTATTCTATTTGCAAAAATTGGAAGTAGTAAATTTTTAAAACTCAGTATGTCTTATTTTCACTTAAAATATAGCTTAAAAAATGAAGGTAAGTGATACCAGATCTGCTGAATGTTAATTACAAGCTGTAAAAAGTGTGGTTTTGCTTAATAGCCACTATTTCATTGTTGAGAAGTGGCAAGATAGTGCAAAAGACCCTTTCTGAAATAACTCCCTTTGTCAACTGCAGTTGTTTTTCCTGAAGATGCTTCTTAAGGCAAATGGATGGGGAAAGAAAAGTTAAATTATTCATGAGTCTCATTTGACAGTTGATCAGTGGGGGAGGTTTGGAGTGGGAGCTGGGGGGAAGAGAGAGAAAGAAAATAATAATAGGCTTTAACTTTGAAAAGCCTTTAAAGCTTCTGTACAACAACCCATTGTGAGTGGAGAGTAAATGCAGCAGTTCAGTTAAGATATCTTCATTAGAAATACCTGCCAAGGGCTTCCTGTAGGATTTTCAGAGTGCTGCAGAGTGACATGGGGTTTGGGAAGAGGCTTATGATTTTAATAATGGAGCTGTCATTTTGATGCCTGAAAATCTTGACCCCAAGAGCTTTATTGAAAAAACTCAGATTTCATATTTATATTGAATTATTACCTCTTCAAAGATATGTTTATTTGTTTACTTTTTTTAAACTGGCAGTGAGCACCATGGGCTTCTGCTATGTACAAAAACCATGGTCGAGTGCTAAAAACAGTGTTGTTGCTCACACTTGTGTTTTATTTCTGTTTCTTTTGTTTGTTTGGCTATTCTTTTTTATTTAAAAAAAAAAAAAAAGTGATGGGGAGGAATATAGAGGAGGGGAGCACAGAGATGCCAGAGACCTGGAGTCTACATGGGTCCTTCCTGCCTGGTGCTGCGGAGCTGTGTAGTGGATAGTCCCTCACCATCCCTGCCTGCACGCCTGCAGTCCCCGGACTGGGCTGGGAGAGACAGGGCTGGGGCGTCGCAGTGCCTTACCTGAATGCCGCTCTCCCCCACGGCTAGGATAGGAGCTCTGCTTGTTTAACCTGACACAGTTCTGCTGTTATCCAATATTGGAGGTTCAGTACATCTCTTCAGATCTGGCATACATAGCTTTCCGCTCCTGGGCTGCCTATTTGGGTTTGTTTATCAAAGAAAATGAAATGTGTTACTTGGGAATTAAAAAAAAAATAAAAATTAAAATTCACCCCCAGTGTTCTTCTTTGTTTGTGTGTGTTTGTGTTGTGATATCTTGACCTTTCAGGTCACCAAATCTTGTTATTTTAATTTCTGTCTGGAAGAATGTCTGAGCAAGGTAAATTGAACCAGGAGACAGCAGAGGAAGCTGTGAAAGAGCAGGAGACTGCCATCTCTGAAGCAAACCTGGACAACTGTATCCTTAATAAATCTGAAAGCTCGGAAATAGAGGAGAAAGAGGAAAAGCTGAGCGATGCCAAGTCAGAGCTGCAGGTAAGACAAGAAAAGTGAATGGGCGCATTAAGTATCAGTGTGTTACCATTGCCTTTCCATTTCTGTGATCTCTTTGGTTGCCTATGCTTCCCTTGCATTTGTCTCATGATTTTGACTGTTTTCTTTCTTTAATTTTTTTTGGGTCCTTTTATCTCCTATAAAATAAATGCTGTTATTTGTTATACCTTTCAAACTCTTCAGGCTGCTGTCCATGTTATTAATTTTTCTGAGAAGTTAATTCCTACACGTCTGTGTTAAAGCTTGGTGAAATATTTGACTGTTTTCCCTCTTTGGGGATTTAGAAAACTACCTTGATCTCATGAATTTACAGGTAATACTAATGAATAATTACTTAATGTGTGGTTTGGTTTGTAGGTGTTACTGCCAACAAAAAGTTGTTATGCAAAGCCTAAGAAGGTAATTTGATAAGAAGACTTTATCGGATGAGGGGGTTTTAATCCTTTTTGCTCAATCAAATATAAAAATAAAGGGGGAGGCTACAATTTAAGAGCAATTTGGAGAGGGGGAGCATTTACTTAAGTATGCCTTTTCTTACATTATTATATGCAAAATTACAGAATACTGTGCAGTGTGTTTTTGTGGTTTATACCCATCTTTAAAATGAATGAAGTGCAGAGATGGTTCTTGGTTTTCCCTGCTTTCCAGACTGAGTTTGGGGAAGTTGTTTTTGCAGTCAGCAACTGATTAAAACATCATTTTAGGAATGGTTTAATCTCTTTGGTAATGCTCTCGTCATGCACATTTTCTACTGAAGTGATAACTGCTTCTCTTTTTTGCTATACCCAGAAACGAGGTGCAAATCAGAACCAGCAGAAAAAGAGATCCAAGGTAAGGGTCCATCTCTGTTTGGAATTGCATGTCATGGTAGGATAAAGAATTCCAGTCAACTCTCTGTCTGCAATTGAAATGGTGGCCTTTCATCACTTGTGTGGTGGTTGGGTTTTTTTGTTTGTCGTGTTTTTTTATTTCCCCTCCCTTACTCCATAATCTTCTTGCACAAAGGCAGAGGAGTTCCTCTAGGTAAAATGCATCAGGGTCCCCTTTATTTATCCATCATACTTTTATGCTGCTGGGCTCGCTGTGTGCTTGTGTTAGACAGCATGTGTGCTTGTGTGCACCACTGGGGGAGGAAAAAGCTCATTCCTTTTGCTTTAGTAATTAGCATTTTTTGTTTGAATTTTATTTTAAACTTGACGTAAAAAAAAGCAGAGACTTTCTAGACCCCTGGAGTGGGGAAAAAAAAATAGCTTCCAGGAAAAAAAAAACCTCAACCAAACAAAAAACTTTAATTTTCCAAGTGCAAATCCATAAAACTCACACATTTTATTGTCTGTGTTCCTTGGATATAATACCACTGGAAGAAAGGGGGTGGAAAAAGAAAAAAAAAAAAAAAAAAAGAAACAAAACCCCAAGGAACAGAAGGAACCTTTGAGTTTAACTTTGTAAATTAGCTTCAGTATTGGATTATCTATTCTTTTGCAGTTTAAGATTTTCGGTGGGAGTGAGTGAACTGTAGCAGAAATTATTAAAAGCAAAAAGAAACCTACCACCTCCAGAATACTTTTCCATTTGCATCAAAGGCAGATATGATTTTGCCAGCTAGGTGTAGGTAATAGTTACTTCAGATATTTTAGGCAGAGCTGATGTCTGCAGCTTATGTGACTTGGGGTCAGTAGAAGGGTTGTCTGTTTTGTTTTCTTCTTCTCTTATTCAGTCAGGAGCTAAAGGAAAACTTGTCCGGAGCCTTGCTGTGTGCGAAGAGTCATCCCCTCGCCCGGGTGCAGAAAATCTTCATGATAATCAGGTACGCTTGCAATCATTGTTGTTAAGTGCATGGTTGACCTCCATGTTCAGTTGCATGATTATGTTACTTAATTGGGCATTTAACAGTGTCTTTCTCGGGGGAAAAATTGCATCTGACAATGAACACGTTTTTATGAAGTTATCTGGTTTAGGGTGAACTTTATTTTGAAATATTAGTTTTATACTATATCACAGGGTGTTGTTTGCTTTTTTTTCCAGACCCCCTGAAAATTTCAGCAAATGGAAAAGAATTCAAAAGAATTCAGATTTTAAAATTAAAAAAATAATAACAATCAAAAAGAATATTAATATGTTCTTTCTCTAAGGCTATCTCTTTCAAGGCTGTACCAGATACAGTTATGAATATGCTCTGGTTTCTGGTTCCTCTGAGACTCCAGTTCATATCAGTGTCCCCCTTCACATAAAATTCACAGATCCTTCGCTCTCTCAAATACCTTGTTAGAGCCAAGGATGCCTCCGACTGAGTAGCGTTCATTTTTCTAAACTCTTGGTGTAGACTTTCCGATATCGAAAGTGTGTTTTTGAATTTATCTGTACTGGTAGTGATGTATTCCCGGCAGCTGGTAGAGTTTTGTCCCCTGCACCCCTCACCTTGGACAGTTAACGCTGGTGGCAGTCTCTGTAGACTACCTTCAAAAAACATCTCAAAAAGCAAAGATAAAACCCTCAAATACTCTTCTTTGCTTGCTTGGTAAGAGCAAGGCTTGCAAAAATAACAAAACAAAAATATGAGCACTGCCTATAATTGATGAGATATTTTATGTGCAAATGAGATCAGCCATCAAGAGAGCTTGAGCAAGTGACTTCTTGGGAGCTTAGCACAAAAAAAAGAAAAACCAAAAAAACCAAACGAACAAAAAAATCACATCTAAGTGTACTTTCTCACCATTTCCTTTATTGACTTGAAATGAAACAAATCCAGCTCTCCTCTTGGATGTTAAGTCTGGAGAGGTTTTTATATTTTTTTAATTCTTTTTGAAAGACCAAAAACCAGGTTGTTTAGCAGGGGGACGTCTACATGTTCTACTGCTCTACAATGATGCTTATGCAGTAGGTTGGTAGATTATTTTATCAGTTGTTCTGTTGTAGGTATACGCTTTCCGCTTAACTTGCGTTACTCAAGATGCGTGGCTTTTGTTCTGCTTTGATTTGTATTTTTTGTTGTTTAATGGAGAATGAGAAGGAGAAGAATGCAAAGAGATTGTATTAAGCATTGCGTGGTAGTTTCTAATGTACTGCACAGGACCTATATTACACTTCAGAGACACTGGCAGGTTTTGAGGAAAAATCCCTGTCCGGATTTCGCTCCGACGCCAGGCGGAGGAGGGGTTCCTGTTACACACAGCCTCTGGTCCTACCCGACTGACCAGCTACAGCAAAGATTTCTGGGACCCTATTGAAAATATTTATGGGAGGAAAAATGTCTCCCTGGATCCCAGCATCCATTTCCTAAAGACACAACTGGCTTGGTGTGATTAATTAGATAGGAATTGCACTTTTTCTCTCACTGACGTTTTACTAACCAATGCGGCTCAGCTTTGCCGTGGAAAGCTGGACCTACAGGCTCCTCCTTGGACTGGCTGAAGGATGCAGGGAGTTTTATGACAACCAAATTGCATTGCTTTAATTATAGAGGAGAAAATGCTTATTTTCAGTTTGGATTTTTTTTTTAATTACTATTTTATCTTAATGGTTTACAAAGCACAGGGAATAAATACCAGAGAATGTACGGTACATTGCCAGAACTACTGAGTATGGATTGTACTGCAGACTTGATGTTTGTATTTATCTTTGAACACTTGCCTTCATTTTCCTGAATAGGGGAAAAAACTTGTTTACCTGTATTACTTGATCTTGAACGCTTACCTAATGGTTCACTATGTCCTTACTTAAAAGGAATGTTGCCTTTAATGTTATACTATTGACCAAGAAGTGTATTATTGCAATTTGAACATTTTATTTTGTTGTTCATTATACTTACCTTGTATCAATGTATTTATTAACACTGTATTTTATTATTGAGAAAAATCAATAAAAACCTAAGAAAACATACAGTAGCTTGCTTTCACGACTCTACAGACCTTTTGTGTGTTTCTTCTAGTGCAAATATATAAGCATTATGTTACATGTAAGATAGAATCTATTCTATGTTCATATGTGTCCTTATGTGTAAAGTCCGTTGTTTCTCCTAAGTGCATTTTAACAACCACTGTGAAGGTTAGGATTTATGTCCTGGGAACAGCATATGGCCAGTTACATTTTTCTCCAGTTTTGAAAAGGTAGTGACGCAGTCACTCTGCTCTGGGTAGCGCAGGGAATCAGAGTTATCCTTTGGGGTCTCTTGGCAGTGGTCTATCCAAAGTTTGTTGTTTGAATGAGAAATTGAACTGCCATTTGAAGTGGAAGAAAGCAGGCATAAAGTTAGTCCTCTGAGTGCAACTGATCAGGTTAGCAAACATTTTTTTTCTATGCTTATCTCAAATAACCAGGAGCTGCCCTTCTTTCCTATGTATCCTCAGTTTTTCACCCATACTGTCAGCCAAAACTAACAGAAGTAAGGATTAAGGACGGTAGTTCAGGTTAAATTTTGGCTCTCGGGCATTGTTTCTCTTTTACAGTGCTATCTATTCATCTCAAGTCTTTTGTGCCACGTTCAAACTTCACAAAAAGTCAATGATTAAACTGAGAAATTACCCTACTTCTGTCTTACTGTGGCATGTTTATGCTGATACCTTGTCCCGTTAGGATCTTGTCTTACATGTGTTGTGGTGGCTGGTTTGTAGTTCTTCAAAAAATTCCAAAACCTAAAATTTATAATAATTATTGAATGTATCTTTTGTATTCGTAATGGCCTGGCTGCTTTAAAAAAACACACCCCTTACATTAAAGTTTTGTATTGATCTTTTGATGTGCTACTGTTCTGGGAAAAAATGTGAAGGGAAGGAATTTACTAGAACTTGAGAAACTCTGATTTTCTCCAGTATTGGGGAATTTGGTTTTCATTACGAAGATGCCAAAAAATTACCAGGCATGCAGGACTCTTTTCTGTTAAGGAAAACTGCATCACCAGAGAGTTTTGCAACAGCTTAATTCAAAGGTTCATTTTTACACTACTTAAAACATAGCATTATTTTGGCTTTTTTTTTTTTTCTTCAAAAGAATGTGAACACAGAAGTATTATTTCTTAAATTTCATTGAACCAGATCGGTGGTACTTGAAATACAGAAATTATGCCATGGTAACTTCAAACGAAAACAAGTTGTGTTTTGTTAAAACAAAGCCAATATAAAATAATGTTGTAAGTCTGGAATAAGAAGTTCTTTAAAGCAAATTGGAAAACACAAACCAGCTTGAATTCTCAGTTTTAACTAACTTTTTTAGCTGAAGCATGCTTTCAAACAGACTCAGTCACTGAAATGTTGAAGATAAAACCTGTTATGCCTTGGAAAAGTTCACTTACCACAGCTTGTTTGAAAATCCCAGTACACACTTCACCCCTTTTACTAAAGGCATGTTGGCATATATCTGTATATTGAAAGTGCCTGATAAATTAGTAAGCCCTCATGTATACAACTGAGTTTATAATTTGCTGGCACTTTTCTACTATCAGAGTCTGAAAGCTCCATTTAGCTGATACTATGCTTCTGTGTGCAAAATAGTTTGTATGAACCTCCAGGGGTTTTTAATAAGGAAGAAATAATTTATAATTTTCGTATTTCTATCCATCAAATATCATTTAACATGTGTCGTATTTATTACATTATAGAATTACTTAAAGCCCACATAAAATATATTCCACTGTTCTAATAAGTCTTAAGTGAGAATTACTGAAGTGTAGAATAGTATAGTGCCTTTAATATAGGTAGACTAAAAGTTTATAGTATTTAAATATTAGGAAAAAGATACATTTACCACTAGAATTTGGCCTCTAAGATGTCATTATTCTCCTGGAAAAAGTCATTTTTCAAATAGGAAAGAAATGTATCTGGCTTCAGCTTTTCTAGCTACACATAATTTAATGCAAATCTCTGCAGGTTGGAAGCCATAAGAAGCTTACTGAATCTGGCCTGAATTTTTCTTCCTTTTTTTTTTTCCCCCCCCTACAGGAATCAATCCAACTACAGCTTTCAAGTTTTCCTAGCTTGCACGAAGAAGATAAATCTAGTAAAGATGACTCTGAGAAAGAAAAGGAGAAGGATAAAAATAAAGAAAAAGATAAAAACAGTGAAAAGAACAAGATCAGAATGTTATCGAAAGGTAAACTTAGAAATACTTAGATTGCTATAATAACTGTTGTAAAAAGGATTGTATGTTTTTGTAAGCATGCATTTCTTTGTGTATAGAAATACACTGTAGAAGTGTTTTCATACATGGAGAAAATTCAGAACCTGGAATGTGTGTGCATGAGTTTTTCGTATTAATTTGAAAAGGCTTTGAAAGTGAAGAAACCTTCCAAACTGAGGTTTGGTAATTGTGGGTTCTTAATTTTCTTTAATGTGAACTCATTCTTTTGAATATTTAACTGTGTTGGTATAAACACATATGTATGGAAACATATGTGTGATATATAATATGTGTAAGATTCTAATACACTGTTTTTTCCCCATTAATGATAATATCTGGCATTTCATTTGTGCAATGTAGGTGGCAGAGAGTAATTTTCTTCACTGTTGTTCTTCTCTCATGGAGAATTTCTCTTAAATGCTGTAAGAAAATCTATCCATGACCTTTAAATCTGCGGTGCAATCTACTATTATCACCTAATAAGTCGTCTTCAGAACAGATTTGGTATCTGAATTTGGTATTTCTTAAAAAAAATAAATCTTTTTATTAATGCATGGTATAAAGTTGCAGTGCAATCTCCCAAAAATAATCATTGCCTACCTGGGTATGGATCCGCAGCTGGTGTGAATTGTCAGTTGGCTTCAATGGAGCTCTCACAGCTCACGCCAGCTTGAGGATCCGTGTGTACTTTTGAGTCAAGTGGTGTAGCAGTGCTTAAAAATTAATTCTGACTACTGTCACGCATCGCTATTACCTGCCCACTCTCGGGCGTCACTGGATTTCAGTCTGTTAATGCAAATAGAATTCCCGCTGGCACGATGCCTCATTTGCTAGGTGTACGGCATGTATTAAGCGAGATAAAGACACAGGGAAGAGGAGAACTTTTCTTGGTGTTTTTTTTTCTTTCATATTTTTAAAAAATATATTATTTAGTAAAGAACTTGACAGGGTCTTGAGGCATTGAAGGTTTCCTGTGATTTTCAAATGGCCAGCAGTTTCTTTCCGTGTCTAGTTTTGGTGCTGTGTTCTTAGTAGAACGGTACAGAGGAACGGTGAGTGTCCACCTGATGCTTCCGAGCATACACCTTTCTTGGCTGAGCTCCAAATGAACACTTCCTTTCAGAGCATGTGCTTTCAGATTGTTACTGGAAAATGGATTGTGATTTACAGCGTAGCTTAATTGTAACTGTTGAAAGGAAATGAATGAGTGGGGGGTGTTTGATTTTATTTTGCAGATTGCAGCCAAGAGTATACAGACTCAACAGGCATAGATCTGCATGAGTTTCTCATTAACACATTGAAGAATAACCCCAGGTAGGTATTTTCTGCATTAGAACTGGCACTCCTGAAATTATAGCTGGCAGTCTTTGAGTTCCCATAACTGTACACTGTGTTTTATTATTTCTGGAGTTGGTTATGAGGGCAAATGTGAAGGACGTAGGCTGTCAACCGAGCAAAAAGCTATAAAAAGTCATCAACTCCTGCTCCCCCATCCGGTCACCCATTGCTTAATTTCACTTTCAGCAACATCTGGTCTTTGTCCTCACCTTCTTGCATATAGCTCTATGTGGTGTTCGCAGTAATCCATTATACCCGTTGCAGTGGAGATTTGTATATGGATATAAAGCAGCTTTCTTTTAGCAGTACTGTACACAATTTAAATCCTGTGCCCAGTGCCAAGTTCTGCTCTCTGTATTCCCATAGCTTTCACTTGAAGCAGCAAGCTCATCTCATTGTTAAATTTGCCTCTAAATGTCTAAAGAAGGATCTGTAATGTTTTTATATGTTGTGACATTTCAACATTCATTTCAACTGAATCTGTTAAATAGGGACTGCGTAATTCTGCAGTTATAGAGGAACTAGGAATAATTGGGTACCTAACAGCTTGCATAAACTCTACTATAGGTGACAGAAGGTCCTTGAATCATTTTATCTGCACAAAATGAGAAAAATTCAAAAGAATGAAGGAGAGATGGACTCTGTCAAGCTTAGAGGAAAAACGTGTGTGTGGAAATATGCGGGGGAATTTTTTGAATGTAGGCAGGAGGGGACGGTGGGAAGGAACATCTGAGAATTTCCAGTTGAAAACAGGCATTTTGACTGAGAAATGCTCTGGCATTGCCTCCTGGGAGCCATCGTTCAAAGGCGTTGTTCTCCGCTGTGCTCTCTAACTAGGTTAGACGTGCCCAGGCTTCTCACCTGCAGATCAATGCCTCGTGGAACATGTGTCTCAGACAAAATGTTGAAAATTTCTGTGGCCAGAAGCTCCGCTCATGAAGGAGCTGCGCTAGCTGGAAATCTCATTTTCCATCAAAAAAAGAGTGAAAAAGGACCAAAGCTCTCTATAGCAATCAGAGCCTTTCTACGCGAGGCTGCTTCCAGCCACACCAGGCTGTGATCGCTCTCAGACCATAGCTGAGCTCAGGGAAGAGCTGAATCTGTCACGTATGTCAGCGAAGGTGCAGCACAGCAGGCTGCAGCCTCCTCCAGATGCGCCAGGGCAAAGCACGTTTCATTTTTAATCGAGATGGCTGACAACACTTGGAAAATGGCCTTACAAACACTGATATATTTATCTTTTCATCTAAAATGTCTAATTGTAGCTTATGCTATAAATCCGTGCATTTCTTTTTGACAGGGACAGGATGATACTCTTGAAAATGGAACAGGAAATTATTGATTTTATTAGTGACAACAAGTAAGTCGAGTTCCATACTTGGTTTTTAAGTCACGTGTGCGTGTAGCAATGCAAGCTGTGTGAGGGATACGCTCATATGGACCGCAGTGCTCCCGAGCGCTGTTTCTGCCATGCCTCAAGATCAGGCTTTTATTTCCTGACATATGGTGGTACTGCTTAAAATACAGTAGATGTAAATGAAAACGTTTTGCTTTTCATTGCATCATAATTACACTGTCTCAGCTCATTTAAGGCCAAAAAAACGGTTAAATCTTTCAGTGCAGAGGATGATCAAATATTCCACCCCACAGGTTTCCCTGTGTGCTACGTTATTCTAATGCACTGGAAAATAAAACTGAACTTGGGTGGAGGGATTCTTGCTGCTGGGTGTTCTTTATAATGAAATGTTTCTGCAGCTTTAAAAATTAATCAGAATAGTAGCAGAGGAAGAAATTATGCTGATGGGAAATAAGCAATTTGCCAGTAAGAGAGAAAAAAATGTTTGCCAAACTAGATCTTTCCAGCATCGCCCTGCATCTGACCTTTGGGAGAAAGGCAGAAAGCGGTTGCCAGTGTCTCAGCAAACCTGCAGGGTTGTTCGTGCAGGGAGCATGAGTGTGTGTGCGGGGGATGAGTTCTTCCCAGTATACAGGATACGCAGTAGGTACTGTGAAGTGTGAGCTTTGTTTGTCCCAGTGTAGTGCATGAAAATGTGTTTATTAGAAACTCTAAAAATAATTCCTTTCTTTTTTTCTGCCTTCTTGTAGCAAACATTTATATATAAATGCACAAAGGAGTAGTTTTCAGTTAGATTTCTGTCCACTGAATTATCGAATGTATTGCTATTATTTTTATAGCTCAGATGGAAATGAAATTATCAGTGTGATTTGGTTTCTTTTTTTTTTTTTCCAGTAATCACTATAAAAAGTTCCCTCAGATGTCATCATATCAGAGGATGTTAGTGCACAGAGTGGCAGCTTACTTTGGGATGGATCACAATGTGGATCAGACTGGAAAATCTGTAATTATCAACAAGACCAGCAATACAAGAATGTAAGTAGCAACACTGATGTGTTTTCCCTTGATCCTTTTCACAAGAGCTGGTTTGTACCATGGCTGTGTGGCTTTATTTTTTTTTTTTTTTTTTTTAATGTATAATTTTTATAATATATTGGTTTAAAATTTTTGTAGCAAGAGTGAGTGCTGTTTATTGTTAGGTGGAAGGGGAGGACAGGGCTCGCATTTTTGAGGTTATTTAAGGTTATAAAGATGCATAAAGAGAAATCAAGCCGATTTGTCTCTTGCAACAAACCTAACACACTATCTTGGAATGTTACTTTCCCGGACTGGTTAGTGCCACGACTTTGCTACAGGAACAAGCTCGTTGCTTTACATTTTCACCTGATACCATACAACTGTATTCCCAAATATATTCTGCCTCTTCCCTTGTTCTGGCTCTCCCTGCTTCAAGAGTCATTTTCTGCCCAACCTGATTATTTAGGATTTGGTTCCCCTCCACTGCCTGCCACCATTCGTTCCCTTTTCCTCCTCTTCTCCCCTCCTGGTTTCACTTTATTTTTCTCTTGAAATCTCAACGTTTGACCACAGTGTGTTTCTGGGATATAAATTCCTTCTGATGGTTCAAATGCACTGCAGAATTCCTGGCAGGTTAAACTTGTGTTGGCATGCTTTATGCTCTCCTCCACAAACCTGCATAAAGCTAGCAAAAGCTTGGTACAAAGTTCCCTGGCTAATTCCTCAAAGATGCAGTCATGCGTCCTTGCCTAATCTGCATCACTTGTTCTGCGGAGTGCCACGTGTGTATTAACCATCATGGAACTGTAGCCTTCCTCTCCCTCTTGACCTATAAACTACATAATGAAGAGGAAGTAATTACAACTGGGTAATGAAGTTTTGGTATCTGGTATTGGAACAGGAAATCCCCATTTGAAAATTGTGGACTTCCTATATTCAATTAGTAGGAGAAATGAACACATTTATTTAATTTACATATAGAGTAGTAAGGTGATTTACTTAGTTGTAGAGATGTTGGTTTTGGTTTTGTTCTTTTTTTTCTTTTTAATGTTATTAGCCTCTCCTGTGGAAAGCTGGGAGGACTACCTAATTTTGCAAGATCAAAACCTGAGGCAAACACATTGGTATTTGTTATTTCACTGAGCCCTAAAAATCTTCCATGTGTGAAGTAAACTTAAGATTATGGACAATTAATTTTAGATTCTTTTCATGAGTTATCCCTGAGATACTCGGGCATCTCTGAAACAACACTTAGACGTAAATGTGTTTAAAGGTTTGAATAAAGCACGCGCTAACAATCTGATTTTCAGAAGTCAAGAGAATTACAGCAGCTCGATAAAACTTAACACTCAGTCTGGTAATACCTGACCCTGTGCAAGGCCTATGTTTGGGTATGAATAAGAAAAAGCTGGGTATGCAGCAAACTGGGGTTCATTTTTGAGCATCCCTCTTTACAGTTCTCCCTTTTCCCGTCACCTCTGTAGCGCACCAACTGCTACAGATCTTGCCTCGCAGCATTGCTTTCTCCCGCTTGACTTGATAATGTGAGCATATCACATTAACATCCGATAATGCCTGGCTTGGTTGTGTGGCTGTGCATCATGGCGATGGGTAGCACTGGAAGTGCTGTTGGAAGTGGTTGCACAGTGCTTCTGGAGAGCACACTGAAATCTTCTTCACCTGACAAAGCTTTATCCAAGTGCTCTGGTGAAGCTGTGTTGTCTTGAGTGGTGGGATAAGCAACCAAGGCTGTTTGCCAGCCATGAACTAGCATCCCTGTGGGCATGCTCAGCGGGCAGGATGTTTCAGGGGTAAAACAGGTCAAATGACCCTTTTAGCTGCGGTCTTGCAAGCTGGAGGTGAGGCACAGAGCCAGACAAATTGCTTCTGACACCATTCCTGTGTAGATCTTCCAGAAATAAATACAGCCTTTGCCTCTCATTTGACTGCGAGTACAGATGTTTCAGAAGTACCACACATACTGCAGATTTTTTTTTTTCCCTTCTGCAGTGATTTGGTGGTAGATAACTGGATTATGACACTCGTATTGCATCAGGGTGCTTCCAGTGTGTTATTTACATTGTTTTGATACTGCTGTAAAATAAAGCTTTGTAGAAGTAGCTCTTTCTTTTCATAACTGGAAGAGATGGCGTGTTGGGGCTTTTTTTCTTTCTTTTTTTTTTCCCCCAAACATCCCTGGCTCTGACAGAAAATAAATTGTTATTATCAAGCTTGAATAATGGCTGATGAGATTTTATTATCCGCAGCAAATATTGTGTAACTTCCACATCTGAAAGCGTCCAATGTGATTTCGTGTGTTCTGCATTTCAGTACTCTCCGAGGAGACAATTTTGTGTGGTTCAGAATCAACACCAAATACTGGGAATGTGTTGACTCTATTAATTACTACTTGGAAGGTGTCCAGGATACCGAAGAATGTGGAGAGCAGCTGAAATGCTGTTCAGTGTGGTTGTACTGTGCTGTAAGCCTGAGACTTGATAGTTTTATGCTAATTTATGGAGAGACCCCATAGACAGATATTCTGAAGATTTGAATTTTCACAATAAATTATCTCTTTATGGCATATGGTTTCCAAAGTACTTCAGCTGCACACAGTGGAGAGGGAAGAATTTTCTTGCATGCTCAAGTATTCATAAATTCTGCACTGACTGTGACTTCAGTGCGTGTGTGCCTGTTTGGGAAGAGCATCTGCCTCTGTGGAATCACTGCGTGGGCTTGAATAAGCACCATGCAGCTTATTTCTCTGGCTGAGTGAGGGTTCGTGTCACATCTCTGCTCGTGCTTGTGATGTGTTGTTCCCTGGCTCCAGGCAGTGAGGCCCATGTATTTCGTTCAGCAGAGACCTCCCGTGCTCACTTCCCACAGGTCCATGGAAGCACAAGTTCCAGGAGAGTTAGCAGCTTTGCAGTGAACGGGCTGGTAGGGAAAAGCTGGTAACAGTGCTACCTTAGAGGTGCCACAGTACCGAGTAGTGTCTGTCAGATGGGGCACTAGGTTTAAATGGAGTGGATGGGGGCATTTGGTTTCTTGCATCAGTTGGCTATCTTAAGGCAATGCATATCCCCTTCTGTGCACCTGTGCCTAGAAAAGTACCTGTTTTTCAGGGGCTTGGAATTTGAGAAAGTGCTTATTGAAGAGGTTGCAGCTGGAAAGAGGGCTGTGGCTTGTTTGGTCGACCGTGCTGCCCTACAGAGAGGGGAACACAATGCTAAAAATGCCCTAGGACTTGAATCTCTCTCAGATTGCAGTCCTGGACCTTTATTGAACTCCCAGTGAAGTCTCTCCTAAAAATGCAGTCAGACCATCATGACAGTTTTGCACTCTGAAAATTATTTTTGATGATGAGCTTAATCTAACGTGCCTTTTGTGGTTTTTTTGTTTGTTTGTTTGTTTGTTTTATTGGAATGGGATCTAATCGTACTGCTCTTGAAGGTTTTTTATTAAATGAAATTTTAAAACACAGAGAGATGATCTCAACTACCCAGATGTTTGTTGACCCTCATAGAGTTCTCTCTGTATTCTCTCATTTGAGTATAGTGGATTTTAGAAACAAATTAGCTTTCCATATGATTTTTGAAATTAAGACTAGGTTAAGAAAGAACAACTTCAAAACATAATTTTTCATGGTCTCATATCTTAAAGTCCTGCCTAGCTAAATTATCCAACTTTTAAAATCTTATTCTCAGCAGTATATATGAGACAAGTTGATCAGAAAATGAGAGGGATTTTTTTGTTATTTTTATAGTTGGAGAGCTCAAATACTACTTAAAATGGGACTGCTTTGTTCAGCATGAAACTGCTCCTGTGTCACCATTGTAATGTACGTTTGTCTGTCATCTGTGTCTGCCTGTCATGTGTCAAAGATACTCTGAAACATACAGGGAACTTAGGACAGTGAAATACGATATAAACAGAAGTTTGGAATTGAGGCAATATGTTAGGTAGGACATCCCAAAAATGGAGAAAAAAAAAAACAACTGTGTACGTGCCATGTTCTATTTCATATATTCCTCATCAAACAACTTCAAGGACTTCAGGGATTTTTGCAGAACTGTTCATATTATTGCACACAAGTTCAACCAGATTCATTCATTTGATTATCTGTAGATAGATGGAGAAATGCAGGGGAAGTGTCTTTGATGTGCTTGGTAAATGAAAAGGGTTTTCATTTGGCTGAGATCACCACCCATGTGACAGATATGTCTGTACCACAGCCCACACGTGCATTCATGTACATTTTTATATAAGCATGAGTGGCAGGGCTCATCAAAATTGAGAAGGTGGAGTGCTTATGATGTATAATAGTTGTATTTAGACATTTTCATACATTCTGAGGGTGTAACATACCTATTACGAACTTTATGCTAATACTCACATCTTCAGTTATGACTAACGTATTTTTCAAGAGCATCATGAGTTATGATCCTTGTAATACTTGGTTTTCTTCTTACTGCTTTACTATGTAAATGTTAATATAATATTGGCCCAGTTGGAAGGGTTTTTTGGTGCCTTTGAGATGCATCAAAAACTTTAGGCAATAGTAAGATGTTACGTGTATTACAGGGGTTCCTTATAATCTAGGATTAAAATTTATCAGCAGAAGGAGACACACTGTATGTACCATGAATAACCTACCAGACCTTCGTAGCTATGACATACAAACTGGTTTATTCTGTCTCCTCTGTGTAAGTGTGGTGTGAATCATAAACAGAGAAGTTTTTATTAAGTTTCTATTGTATGTACACTCAGTGATCTTGTAGATAACTGCTAGCGGAGGTGCGCTGTGCCAATTTTGACATCTTAAGATAAGAATCTGAACTTTGGTAGAGGATCCTACAGACATGATGATAAAATGGCATTCACTGAACATTGGCAATTTCATTGAGGAACAGTTTCTAGAAATCTTTTTCACCCTAGTCTGAAGTGCTAAGAAGTCTTCCTTGAGATGCAAAATGTTACAGCCTTTGGAGCATGCTGAAAGGAGTGACTTTCCCCTT